TTGTACATTAGTGCATATTTGATAGTTTAAAGCATTATGTAACTACAGATATAATGACTTACATGGTTTTTTTTGTAACTCTGGATATTTGTAGTTATGGGTATTTTGGAAAACCATAGCTAGTTGTATGCGGTGGTTACTGAATTACATTTATATGAATTATGATTTTCTGCTAAATGGAATGTATACGAATATGAGGATATGGAATAAGTATGAATAGGTAAATAGAATTAAAATGAAAAATGTATGTGAAGGAAATAAATAGGGGAAAAATTTTCAATGGTAGAATTTCGGTCCTTACATTATACTTGATTACACATTCAAGTAACAAATCTATATACTATATAACAAAATAAAGTTCTTCTTGCCACATGTCATCTACTCATCACTTCTTTTCCCTCCTAAAGTGTTATATACTACTTTGCACATTCCCACACTGCATCCTCACTTTTTCTACATTTTATATTTTAACAATTTAAATGTTAATTAATCTTTAGTCATTATGTTTTGTTTTGTGAAAAAATATCAACTATTGAACATTAGAGGAGATTGAAATCTTTTTTTACATCTAGCCTATTTATCTTTATGTTTCTCATTTCCTTTCATTTCTACACTTACCCCTTCATCTATCTTCTACCTCTTCATTACTCTCATACTTCTACGTTTTGTTCCCAGTATTTACTTTATCATCATCACAAAATATATGTTTTTCTCCTTCTCTTCAAACAACATTTCTCTTCAACAATCTTTCCATTCCAATTATCTTTTTTTGTTTATTTTTTCATTGATTTATTTATTTTTTATTAGTGTTCTTAGTGATTTAATTTCATTATTTTTTAGATATGTTCTTCCAACAGTTCTCTCCGTCAGCGTCTGATAAGCAAGGGTATCATCATAAAGGACGACCAAACCTTCAAAACATCTGGTATGTACTCAATCTCATTTTATATATATATATACATTCAATTGCAGTATTCCATTTGTTTGTTTTTATTATTGATATATTTATTTCGTTCTTAACATTTTCTCTCTTCATTTGTAGTTTGGTTCTCTCTTCTAGCATATCTACACTTTAGTTTTATATCTCTTAATATCTTATTTTATTTATACACTTTTTTATACATAGAATCACTAATTTAATTTTTTGTTTTGCATGTTTCAGAACCACCTGAAGCTGAAATAAAATAAGAATCATGGTTAGTTATTTATGGTTCTGTATTTTTTTTATTTAATGATTTTAAAAATCTATTGTTTAAAATATATATTTGTTGCTTATGTTACCGCAGTCATTTGGATCCATTAAGAATGATAGAACCAATGGATTCAATGATCTTCTCTCTTCTTTGGCATTTTGGTTATCTTTGACAATTTTTTGTATCGTTTTGTATGATATAATTAAAAATAATAATATGTCATTAATTCTAACTTTTCTTTTTCTTTTCTTTTTACATCTACATGTACTAAAATAGTTATAAATTCAAACATTTCATTTTTACGTTTCATGTTTAACAAATGTGTAGTCAAATGCTCATGAAATATTTAGTTAACTAATTAAACAAATTTCTCCATTTTTATATATAAATGTAACAAAAATAAATATATTTCGTTTTCAGATATAATTTCCTTATATTATTACAATTGCTCGTAATTCTTAACATATGTGAATGCATATCACATTAGAGACAACCTTCATTTTGAAAAAATTAAGGCCTAAATAGTGTTAAATAATGTGTGATAACAATTAATATATTATTTTAGTGGTCGTAATCCAAAAAAGTAATCTCTACTTTATTTTGAAAAAAAATCTAAACATTTAATTACAACATTTTAATTTCATTTATTACAATTGTTCATACATTTAAATAGCGTTGATCGTTAATCATTTATTACTATTACTTTTTAACGTTCATACATTTTAATTTCATTTATTACTACTTTCATTGCTGATCAGTTGCAAACTAATAATTAATAATTACTTTGAATAAATAATGTCGATCATTAGGATAGAAATAAAACTGATAAACATGTCTAAGGGAATAAAAACAGATATTGTCATTTAATGTGGTGCTTATTGGTGAGATCAGTGATGCTACTCAAGTTGGCAAATAATGTATAGTAATCACTATCTACAAATTAGTATGTATGTTTTATTTAAAAAAAATCTAAAAATTTAATTAAATTGTTCTCATTTTCATTTATTAATATTGTACATACATTTCCATTATTATCTTTAAAATATTTTAGTAATTTTAATCCTAAATAATTAAGGTCTCCATTATTTTGAAAAAGAATCGAACTAAGTAATTACAACTATCTTATTTCAATTATCATTTATTACTAAAATTTCATATATTAAAATATTATTCTCTAAGTTTTCATACTAAATGATTAAACCCATATTTATTTCAAAAAAAAATCTAAGTAATAATTACAATGTCCCCTTTTGTATACTTTTAAGAAAATACTAAATAATAAACCAGTTACACAAGTAATAAAAAAGAATATCCTAGAAATAAAAGAAATTATAAACAAGTTACATTAAGAAATAATAACAATAATATCATAAAATTAAACAAGTTCTCCATATGTACGTGTATATTAAGAATTAGCGATATAAGTTTTTATTGTATTTATTAGTTACCCAAATATATAGATTATAGAATATGAAAATCAATCAAAAAAGTAAAAAAAAAATATACGGATAACATGTATGTTCTTAGTAGTGCAAATGTATGGATAACATGTGTGTTTTTAATCATGTGATTGCACTAATCACATGTGTTCTTAACAATACGAATGCACATGTAACATGTGTGTTTAACCATGCGAATGCACGAATAACATGTGTGTTCTTAACCATATGAATGCACATGTAATGTGTGTTTTTAATCATACGGCAAAAATATTATCTCGTGCAAATGCACAGGTTACTTGCTAGTTATTATATTAAAGTTAAGTAACTTAAATCTATTATACTATAAGAAAAAGGTTCTCTATTATTAGTCTTGGACACATGTCATTTTCTCATGCAAAGTTTTCCCACTCAAACACTCCCACCAACTACATGCATAGTCCCACATTGTATCATTACCCTCTACATTCATATCATACATCAAAATGACACATGCATGTCACTTCTCATATCGTACATCAAAATGACATATGCATATCACATTTATTAATCCTTCACTTTTTCTACCAAACACTTAATCATATTCACATATTTTCATATTCATTTTCCATCCAAAAATCTTTCTTCATTTTCACTAAATCAATTCTTATATTTCTTCATTTTCCCTAAAATCATATTCTAATTAGCAATTCTATTATACTATTATGTACATTCATTATAATATTCTCATATTAATTTATATTAAAGATATATGAGGTTAGGGAAACAAAAATAATTCTTATCCTATTATGCTGTTTGATTATGTAAAAATAAAAATAATTCTTTAAATTATCATCCACATTATCCCGAAAATGATGAACTCTGTGCAACAAAAATCACAAAGTCAGAATAATGAAAAGCTTTGAATGAGAAATGAAGAAAATTAAAGTATGATGCAATATAATGTTACCTAAGAATAAGAAAAAGAATCATGAGATTGTAAGATTATCATATTACGCACATAAGCAATTACCATTACCTAAAGGAAATTGCGATTTGATTATGTAAAAACAAAAATAATTCTTTAAATTCTCATCCACATTATCCCGAAAATGATGAACTCTCTCTAACAAAAATCACAAAGTCGGAATATTAAAAAACTTAGAATGAGAAATGAAGAAAATTAAAGTATGATGTAATCTTACCTAAGAAGAAGAAAAAGAATCATGAGATTGTAAGCAAAGAGTGTTGGTAATAATTGTAAAATATCGATGTTATGATGTGGTGTGAAAGCAATTTTATGAATATCTCATACTCTGATTAACAATTCTATTATCTTATTATTATGCACATTTCTTATATATTAATTTCTATTAATCACCATCTACATATGTTTAAAATCAACATTCATCATCATTATCATTCTGGAATATTTATGAATAATTCAATTAGAATGAATATAATTATTATACTTAATGACCATTCATGATTTCATAAAAAAAAATCATTATACACATTTATTCTTATATTCTTTTTCCCACAATTTTTTTTCTTTATTTCCCTAAATCAATTTTATATTTCTCCATTCTTATAATATTGTGCACATTTTATTACTATCTCATAATCTCATTTGCAATTCTATTATCCTATTATGCACATTCATTATATATTTCCCTTAAATCAATTCTTATAAGTGGGGCTTTAAATTCGTATAATATTCTGAAAGCAATCCTATTAATATTTCATACTCTGATTAGCAATCTTATTATACACATTTCTTATATATTTCCTCATAAATCAATTCTTATCAATATTAGTATACACATTTCATATATATTTATTTATATTAATTTCTATTAATCATCAGATACATATGTTTAAAATTATACCCAACAATTAATTTCCCTAAATCAATTCTTATTATAAGTGGAGCTTTAAATTTTTATAATACTGTGAAAGCAATCATATTGATATCTCATATTCTTATTAGCAATCCTATTATCCTATAATTCACATTCCTTATATATTCCTTGCCTAAATCAATTATCATATTTCTTCATTTTCCCAAAATCAATTCTTATAAGTGGGGCTTTAAATTCTTATAATATTGTGAAAGCAATCATATTACTGTCTTATACTCTAATTAACAATCATATTATATTATTATTATGCACATTTATTATATATTCATTTATATTAATTTATTACTATATAAGAAAAAAATGTACTATATAAGAAAAAAGGTCCTTACACCTTAGCAAGCGCCACATGTCACATCCACATCCAAAGTTTTCCCTCTCAAACAACTTCACGGCTTCCAATGCACTTCACCACACCATAACATTTGCTATATAACAATTATTACCAACAATCTTCACTTACAAATTAACAGCTTTACTTTCCATCCATCAAAGTTTTATGATACTTTTCCTGGTGAATGTTAATATCCCATATCAGATTATGTGGATATTAATTTTTCTCTATTTTCATTAAAAAAATCAAATTCGAAATTGAAGTTTTTTATAACTTTTAAATATTTTTTAATACAAAAGGTTCATATAGTATCACGATTTGATTTCCCCGTTTTCATTATAAAAAAATCATATTCGGAAATGAAAAAATCATTTCATTTTCTACAACTTTTAAAATATTTATTTTCAAAAAAATTGCATGGTATCATGTTTCGGTTTCCTATTTTTATTAAAAATATTTATTTTCAAATTCGAAATTGTCATTTGTTTACGTTATGTGTTTGAACGGAAAAATATACGGGTAACACATCTTCTTAACAATATGAATGTACATGTAACATATGTGTTTTAACTATATGAATGCACAATTAAGATATGTGTTCTTAGCAATATGAATGTATGAGTAACATGTGTTTTTTTAACCATGCGGTTGCACGGTCACATGTGTGTTATTAACAATACAAATGTACATGTAACATTTGTGTTTTAACCATGCGAATGCACAAATAACATATGCATTCTTAACCATATGGATGTATATGTAATGTGTGTTCTTAATCATGCGACAAAAAAATAACATCCCATGCAATTTTACGGGTAACATGCTTGTTTTTAACCATTAAAATGTACGAGTCACACGTGTGCTCTTAACAATACGAATGCACGAGTAATATATGTGTTTTTAATCATACGAATACACAAATAACATGTGTCTTTAACCATATGAATGTACATATAAAACGTGTATTCTTAACCATACGGAAAATACACCACTCGTGCATCCGCACGGGTATCTTGCTAATTTTTATATGAAAGTTAAGTGTAACACAATAACATATAACAACTATAAGAATTTACATTAGCCTAAACTCTGAATAATGATAAATACAAATTAAAAAAATTTGTATAGACTCATTATATCATTCTTCCTGTCTACAGAGATTTATATAAAATTATACAGAGATTTATATAAAATTATTATCAATATAAAGATTTATATACCTAAATTCTAAATAATAATAAACTATCATGTTCAAATATTATTATAATATAATAATTATTATGCAAAACTTGTATACATTGTCTTGTATTTGAAAGATAAACTATCATATTCAAATATTGTCATGTGAAAAAACTATCATCTTCAAATGGAAAACGGTAGCAGTTAAATCAACAAACGTGGAACATGAAATATAAAATGAGGAAATGTATTATACGATCTTTCGGTAGAAAATAGATATTAATAAGGATAAAATAGAAAATAACAAATTACACGATAGTTATTTTATGTTTTTTTATTAAGTAGTATACATAAAGATTTATATAGAATGAATGAGGAAGGAATGTCCCCTTCCTGTATTCTGAAACCAACGCTTACATTGGATGGTTCATAACATTGAATTCTAACTATGATATTTGTTACGATTCCCTTAATCTCCATTATTCCACCATTTCCTTATAAAACGGTGCGTTTCATCTGAAAGTATTACTTTTCTTCTTAACATTGAAATTGAAATGTGATTGCAGTTACGTCCACAACTACAATCACATTTCAATCACAGAAGGGAGAAGAAAATATGGTCCACAACTTCCTCCTATTCATACAATCATGTCATGATGTGAATATTCTCATCTTGAAACATGGTTAGAATTTGTTGAACCCAAATTCTCATCTTTTTTAAATTTCATGGTTTTAGTATGCATAATTTCTAACACAGTGAACAGAATTTGTTGAACCCAAAGACCTTACCAAACAAATTTGAACTAGAATTCTACTTTATAGTTAGAGTTTTTTGAACCCAAAGACCTGCTAAAAAATTTTAAACTAGAGAGTTCTATAGTAACAATCTAATCTTCAAAGCTACAAGTACTTGAGGACTATGGGAGTTTTCTGCAATACCTGGCTTAATATCTCTCTATTGAATGTAATTGTTGACATTGATTTGCATGTATGAATCTCTGTCAATTCCATTGAAGCATAGTTTTTTTCCGCTTCTCGTGCTTGTGCTGTGTATGCATGCAATTATGCTCATCTGGGATGTGCATGTTATAATGAATTTTACATTTCAGAACTTGCAGGTTAAGTCTCCCCCCACATCTTTGAAGGCAGGAGAGCAGGTATTGGATGATCCTGCTATTATTTCAAGGCAACACAAGAAAAAAGGATACATAGACTCTTATTTTTGTGAATAATGTTTCCTTTTTCCTTTCCAGCAACAATATTCTGGGACGATAAGCTCTCCTGCGCCTTCAGTTTGTTGTGGAAGTTCGACAGAATCAGTTCAAAGGCATGATACTCCTGCTATCATCAGTAGAGCCGTACCTGTTGAGTTGTCTTCTCGTCGTTCTGTATCACATTTCGGACCTTCTTTTTCTAGCCCTTTAAATCAATCTGCTGCTACTCAAGTTCCTAGTCCTCAATCTTTTTCTACACCAATGACTTGGCAAGGAAACAATGAAGCATCAACCAATAGCTCTTGTTCTCTGCATCAATCTAAGTCCTATTCGACCACCATCAATATCACCCTTAACTATGCAGCATTTGATCCAAACTCCCCAAACTCAGGCACCTACAAAAGTGGGATGGACACCTTTATCAGACTATGGTGCACCCTCATATTCCATTTCTGCTTCTTTGCATGTAAATCCAACTTCACCCTCTCTTAAATCTGTACAAATTTCTGATTCCCTTAATAGTCCAGTCTTTTTGTCTACTAAGCCACCTATGCCGTATTCTGCATCCATGACTTCTAATCGATCAAACATGTCTTCGTTTTCCTCACCTTTCTGTGATATAAACTCTGTCGATGGTCAAATATTTGCCAAAATTTCTCCCGATCCAGTACTAAGTCATCCTGGACATTTTATTCGCCACCCTGCTTCTTCATTAGTAGATTTTACTTCCGGTCCCTTGCTAACCCCACCAATACCATCTTTGCTAACTCCAGATCATTTGGCACAATCTCGACAACATTTCCTTTCTTTGACACATAATTTCACCCCTGATCAGAAGGATATGGATAGTTCGACACTAACATCCTTTAGTTCCTCTGTATTAGTGCCTTCTCCAGCATCTCAAGCACCGCCGCTGCTTATGCCGAATTCTTTAGTCTTTCAATAGGTGTATAACTTCTGTCAAGAATCTCTCAACTTCATATGCTTTCCAGTTCATTTCTAAATTGAACTTTGTTTTGACTGAATTGAAGATTTAAATGAAGTGGGGAGGGGCTTTAATAATTAAGGACTATCCATTCCAATTGAATGTGCATTTAAAGGGATGGAAAGAATGGAATTTTAATGCCTTACTCAAATATTTAATTAAAATACTAACATGGCTTTTCCAGAAGGCAGTGCTTGTGAAGTATAGAAAACATTATTACCTCTGAAGCACCGACACATGAAACTCCTTTACGTGTCGGACACATATCTGTCTCCGATTCGTCATGGATACGTATCCGTAGAGTATCCACAAAAAAAAGTATATTAAGATATGTATCTGAAACGTTTTGAAAAAAAAAAACTAGAATAGATATGATACGTTTTAATCAAAGTATCCCGATAATCAAGGTAAATACCAACTTATGTAAAGACAAACACTAATGGAGAACAATGATTTGCAATTTCCATTATACTTTCTACTTCTAAATATTTTGATTTACACTTATAATTTCCATTTCCAATTGAATGTGCATTTAAAGGGATGGAAATAATGGAATTTTGATGCCTTACTCAAATATTTAATTAAAATACTAACATGGCTTTTCCAGAAGGCAGTGCTTGAGAAGTATAGAAAACATTATTACCTCTGAAGCACCGACACATGAAACTTCTTTACGTGTCGGTGTCGGACACATATATGTCTCCGATTCGTCATGGATACGTATCCGTAGAGTATTCAAAAAAAAAGTATATTAAGATATGTATCTGAAACGTTTTGAAAAAAAAAACTAGAATAGATATGATACGTTTTAATCAAAGTATCCCGATAATCAAGGTAAATACCAACTTATGTAAAGACAAACACTAATGGAGAACAATGATTTGCAATTTCCATTATACTTTCTACTTCTGAATATTTTGATTTACACTTATAATTTTATCATATTTTATATATATTTTACTATTTTATACACGTATCCTTGAACGTATTGTATCCTATATTTTAGAAAAAATGCGTATCGGCGTATCAGAAACGTATCGTATCCGACACACATATCCATATCTATGCTTCATAGGTTATTACCAATCATCGAATGAAATGATTGATTCTGGGTTATCATCATTGTACGATAGAGTATCGGCCAATGTCTATTCATAATTTATCAAGAAAATACTGAAAATTTCCACTTGCAGAAATTCTTACAAGTCTGCATTAAAATGTGAAGAGTTTTATCATTTTGTGATGAATGCTTCATTGGAACTATTGATGTGTAAATATGTTTTTATGTTCTGATGAACATTTAGTATTAACCAACTTAATTGAAGAATTTCAATTAAGATTCATTGTTCATGATTTCAGCCTTTTTGCCCAGCTTTAGAGTTCCATGAAGAGTTTGATTTTGAGGCCATGAATGAAAAGTTCAGAAAGGATGAAGTGTGGGGTTCTCTTGGGAGAGGAACTGAGAAAGTGGAAGAGAATGATCACTACTGTCTAATACCAAACCCCAAGGTAGGACTTGGAATGTCACTATTTCTTATAACAATTCTATCCATATTGGTTGTTGAATGCAATGTGAAGCAACTTGTTTCTGGAATCTGAACTTGAATGTAAATTTTCTCTTTCTTTTCTTTGCAGCCTGCATATAACAAAGATGAATTTTTTGACTCAATTTCTGGTAATTCTCTTACTGGTGGGTTGAGGAATGGACAAAATCGTTTCTCTGAGAGAATGAAGCAGGATACTGAGGTTTGCAACTACATTAAAAACTAAAATTGCTGAGAATGACATTATCATAAGACTAAGGTGCTATAGCTTCATACACTCATGTTCTGTTTATGTTTTACTTTCAGACATTTGACAATTTTCAACAGAGGCCTACTAACTTCGGCTATGGTGGCAATCATGGTGGAAATTTTCGGGGCGCAAATAGCTCGGGAAGAAGGGGTTATGGCTACTATGGTGGGAGAAGGTATGTCCCAATCTACATTTATAGTGGTATCCCTATTTTGTAAACACCAAATGTTCTTCTTTCTCCCAAATCTTCCCTCTTTAGGTCCATTTTCGAGTTGAATTTTGGAGGGGAAATAAGGGAAATTGAAGACATTAAAGTCATCTTACAAATGTATTTCATGACTCTCAAACTTTTTATATTCTCTTCCAAAATTCAACTCGTAAATATACTCTTACGCGTTGTGCACATGGTTTTATATGGAATGAGTTTGATGTAATGGTGTTATCATATGTTGGAACTTATAAACTTTGATAATATCAATATCATACTTACAAATAGATGCCAGATTCATCTTTAATTTTTAAGATTTGATTTGTGAGATTATTTTGTAGAACAACTTAATCCTTAAAGAATCAAATAGTATTTGAAGATTTCTTCCTTTCAAAGTTGAATTCATTGAATAATCTATAAAGATTTCATTTATGGAACAAGTTAATCCTTGAACAATCTCACTACACTCAAATTTTTAAAGTAAATCCTTTAAGATTAATGTGATATGGATTTCTAATTTTGATGATAGCACTTAAATGCTAATACACTATGTTTATTTTTTAAACCTTAAATGGCATTGCATGTTATTGGAACTGTGAATATTTAATCTGACACAACTAAATAATTAAACCATCTTATATTTTTTCTTTTATGATTAAATTTTAAATATCTTCATATATGAAAAACATATCAAACGAAATCGAACAAAAATATTACATAACATATCTAATAAAATCTAATTGAATCAATTATTTGAATCGATCTTACTAGTACCGTTAGTCGCTTCCAATTCTATCTATTTTGGAGCTTCATAAAAATTAAATCTATCTTACTAGTACCGTAATTAAATCTACTTTATAAAAGATTTATCTAATCTTTGGTTCAAACTTTAAATGTATATATTTTTTATGAAATCTATCTTCATAAATAAATCAAATCAAATCATATCAATTGATTTCATATTACTTGAAATCCAATCTAATTAACAAGTCACAGCCTATATATATAGTAGGAGTTCCCATCACTTTTCACATAATTTCCCAATCTTTTATTTCTCTACTTAAGCTAAGAACACTTCCTTAGTTCCATAACATCAGCAACAAAACAAGTTCGTTATTTTCCTCACTACTTACCTACAAGATGAGCAATCGCATGGAAGAAATAAAAGACATGTTGGCCAAAATGAACGACGGTGAGAGTGTTTCTTCCGTACCCATCAAGTTGAATCACCTTAATGTGATTGTGTCGATTCTTGCGCCCGAATATTACACTGAACAGCAATTGTCACAACTCAAATCGTTTTCTGAACAGGAGATTGGTCAAACAAGCTTGGTTGCAGAACCTACAAGCAAAAAAAGGAGCTGCTGCTCCGAAACTGAACAAATGTGTGGAGAAAAAACAATGAAAGAAAAGAACAAGAAGTCTAAAAAGATGCCACTGCCAATTGTTGCTAAAACACCACCATCAGAGTTGCCTGGTACATTCATGGATCGGATCACGGAGTTAAATGGAAGTGATATCAAATTTCTGATGCATAAGAAGCTTTGCTTGTCAGATTTGTTGAAAAATAACAACCGTCTTTCGATGCCAAAAAGTCAGATTGGATTTGAGTTCCTTACTGAAGATGAGAAGGAAAAACTAAATGAAAGAAAGGAAGACCCAAGGGCCCGACTCATTGGGACGGAGATAACTTTGATAGATCCATGTCTTAGAGAATACAAGATAACACTCAAGAAATGGGAGATGAAGGGAGTGATCTACAATCTAGTGACAAATTGGCATAAAGTGGTGGAAGATAACAACTTTAAAATGAATCAAGAACTCGACATATGGTCCTTTAGAGTTGATGGCAAACTATATTTTGTACTGAATAATTGTGAATGTAGATGATCATTATGACCATGATCATGCATTCATGTTAGTCTTTTTTGTTTTTTTGGTTTTTATATTCTTGTACTGAATAATTGTGAATGTAGATTCAATTTTATTTTTTCCATCCAATAAAAAGGTTC